GTTTTACCAACGTGTCGGCATCGGGATCATACGTCGGCCAACTCAACCCATGCTCCGGATCGCGAGCGAATGCCGCCCATGCATCCTGCATGTACTTCGACGTCTCAACCTCCGCTGGCGAATCTGGCCCAAGCAAGTCCGACGTGCCAAACACCATTGGGATATCAGAGGAGTGGTAGGCACGAAGCCATGGGAATGGATTTAGGTTGGGCCATTCACCAAAATAACGTGCGCGCCAGACGGGCACGCCGAAGTTCTTGCGAGCGCTGGTAGTGCAATCAGCATCAAGGATGGGTAATAGAGGAGAAAGGACCTACAGTGCTCCCCGTGCGCTGGGGCACGTCGCTATGTTTCGTGTGAACGCGTCCACGGCGGTTTGGTTTGGTCCAGTCGGAACGTAAGGCACCAGCGAAGCACCTTCGTTGTCGACTTGCGAGAAAAGAGTCGGCACTCTCGCGAACAGTCCGCGCACCTGGCGATCAGTATAATTGCCGAAATTTGTGATTTCGTCAGGCGAGGGGTTGAACGATAGCGATCTTCCTTCGTTAGCGGTGGCGTTGTACTTGTTGTAAACCTCAATGATGGCTTTGGCGTCTTTTGTCTGCATGCAAGCGAATTCTTCATCTTTGTTGGATGATGCGCAACCCACTTGAGAGGCAACGTAAGTAAAGTTGGAATTAACTGGGTCGTTGGAGGTGCCGCTCGAAGCTGTACCAGACTGCGCGATGAAGCCCTTCACGATGGGGTCGTTGGGGTATGCGTAGGCATATTTGTCGACACCCATGGCACTATAATAGTTAGTACCCAGTCGTGAGACGATGGCGAAGCAATTTACCCTGCTGACTGCCCAAACAAGATCATCCGATCTGGATCCCCACCGAATGCGGAGATGTGGTTGAAGACCCATTCGACTGCTTTGCGGTGGTCAAGCAAGCCTGGGTTCAGATGTGTTCCGTCCAACGCCGCAGCATTCGGGTATCCGAAGATGTTTAGCCGATAGCTACGATTTGTTCAGCCATGTTACAATATGTGCACGAAATTAGACCTGAGGCTCACTTCATCGCTACAACAACGACATTTTGATCCCTCGCCAGCCGATCTCCATACTTGTATGGACTCGCCGCTCCGCCGGACGTAAACCCACCGCCATGAATCCAGATCATCACCGGTAACTTCTCGGCGTTTGCTTTGCCCCGCGGAGCCCAGATATTCAGCGTTAAACAATCCTCGCTTTGCTGTTGACCTGGCGTAAGGAGAAAGCCTTTGAGATACTCCGAGTAAACTGTCGCCTGACCATTACTGTACTGGATGCACGATGGCCCGAACCAAGATGCGTCGATGGTCTGATTAGAAGGCTTCTTGGTGATGGGTGGTCGAAATCGAGCCGTGCCTATGGGAGGCTCGGCGTATGGAACGCCGCCAAAGAATCGGACGTCCGAACTGTTTGACCATTGTACACCTTGGACGGCAAACAGGTCGGTGTGAACAAGCAGGTCATCGTTTTTGGGATGTGATGGGTACGCGCGGCTCAAAGGCAGAAGGACAGCGGCAAACTTTACAATACGTGAAGGTTTCATCGTGAAACTGAAAGTGAGTATTCTTCTGACTACACCCTGACACCACCAAGTTGGATCAATTCTCGTTATGTATGCCAAATTTTGGTGGGCCAACCGAGGTACCGTATACGGGTACCGACGTAATTTTAGATGTCTCACTTATACGACAAGCTTAGCCCAACTATAATGTACGACGATCTCTTCTCGAACTAGTAATTTCGGAATAGTTCTCTTCCATAGTACCGTCGGAGATGACAAGAACAGTTTAGCTTAGCGTAACGTCGCGGGGCCCCGCATTCTGTTCGCCCGCAATCAAGCATTGATCGGCAAAGAAAGATCATGGAGACAAGAGAATGGTGTTCGCGAGTAGCTCAGCTTGTGTTGATTATTTTGCGAAAAAGGGTGCAATGCCAGCTTTGAGATGTTCGTAAGGGTTGCATGTGATGATGTGGGGTAGTGATGTGGGCTAGGCAGGTAATCGCGATGGTTGCCTGAGCCTTCCTTAGGTCTCGCCATCTCTACTTACATGACACTCAACCTCACTGCAGGCAAGTTTTCTGACATCACAAAGCGCAAAAGATCTATAAGAAATTTGGAACGAACTACCCTACTAAGCTTAGCACACGCGGCATACATGTCTAGCGATAAGGCTGAGTCAAAGCTCTGCGCCAAATGTGCCGTTCTCCGCATCAACGACGAGAATCTCGGCTACTATGACCCGCAAGATGGTTCCGATCACCCAGTTTTGACGTACCGCGTTGGCTGGGCCGGTACAGGACCAGAGAGAAAGTACCATTCTGGACGGCAATTCAGACTCCCCTTCGAACGAACCGATCAATGGCCGTTATTACCGTCTCTGACTGCGAATGCATCCCATTGCGAGTTTTGCAGTGCGTTACGCGATGCATCGCTCATATTACCATTGCAGGGCCCTTGTAAGATTCACTACATACGCGCGTACTATGAACGGCGGAAATTGGACAACGAGATAGTCGGCTTAAGGAAGCTGAGCGTGTATTCGGAAGTCCAGTACGATAATGCGGCGTTGCAGAAGGTAGGACATACACTGGACTTTCTAGTAGATGCTACTGGTAAGTACAGCATGTTGTCAACATAGCCGCGCCGATCTGGTCGCTTATACCAATAGATGGATGCATCAACTGGCTACAGACCCTCCAAAGTCCTTCGGACGAGGCGATGTCGGGTTCGAATGTGAGATGGTTGAAAGAACACCTACACCTTTGTGATCAGGAATGTGGACCTTTTCCAGTGTCCGATTTTTGTCCGACTCGTCTCATTGAAATCTCATCAAAAGAAGGGAAAGTCTTTGTGCGCCTCGTGGAAGCCCGCAAAATGTCAGCCTTTTCGACTCCGCAATATGTTGCCTTGAGCTATTGCTGGGGCAATGAGCAGGATGCGCGCACGCAACTCAAGAGCACAACTCATAATCTCGCGCAGCACGTCCAGGATATACCCTCTGAGACAATGACTCCAGTAGTCCTCGATGCCATTGAACTCTGTCGACGCCTAGGGATACGCTACCTCTGGGTGGACGCTATCTGCATTCTACAAGATGATGATGATGATTGGGCACGAGAAGCAGTACAGATGGGATCTGTCTACACCAACGCATATCTCACGATCTGTACCCCAGCTACATCATCATGTCGCGATTCTTTCCTGCATCGCGCTGCACCTGTAAAAGTCAGATTCGAATCGAAAGTTCGACCAGGAATAAGTGGGTACCTGAATCTCAGACATCAGCCAAAACAAGTATTCTACTGCCAACATCGCTCAACTCTCGAGTGTGAGATGGACGTTGGAACTTGGAGTACTCGCGCCTGGACATTTCAAGAGGAACAGCTTTCCAAGCGACGTCTATACTTCGGGAAATCACGCATGTATCTTTGTTGCCCAATGAAGACACAGGTCGAGTCTTCATACTCCCGAAATGCTGACACTGTTCAATTTCAAAATGTTCTTGAAGAATTTAAGAACGTCACAGACTTCGTCCGACTGTACGATATGTGGATTGAGTTGGTCAAGGACTACGCATTACGAGGGCTTACATACCAGAAAGACAAATTTGCGGCGATTGCTGGTCTGGCCAGTCAAGTTGAGCAACTTACAGGAGACGTATACATAGCCGGACTGTGGAAGGAGGATCTGCTACGAGGGCTTCTTTGGAAAGAAGGGGGACGCCCCGAACGTGAGACAGTGGTCAGCCGACGCTCACGAGCAACATCGACATCGACCAACGATACTTTCCCATCCTGGAGCTGGGCTGTAGGTTCAAAACCAAAATACGACAAGCTTTCAAACGCTCTGAATGGACCAGCCTCAAGCCGGGAGGCAGAGTGGGAACTACGTACTGAATGCAAGTCGATTGAAGCTATGTGTGACCTCAAACACTTTGCTTTGAGGGTGTCCGAGCAGCCTGCAGAGCTTCGGGTACAAGGTAAATTGTTGAAAGCCGGGTCCAACTGGCGGGACATGGGCAAACAGCCCAGTATTCCCACGAATGAATGGAAATGCGCCATCAATGACAAGTGCGTGGCGAATTACGACCTGGACTGGATGGTCAAGGGACAAGAAAACTACCGGACTGGCAGAGAACCGCAGGACTCGCTGAATGTTGGGAATGTGTACATGCTGCTGTTGGCGAGTACGACAGGAGGAGACTGGAAGTGGGAGAGTAATTTTCTTACGCCTATCGGATCGCCCTTACACAGTGATTCGGAGGATACCGACTCTGATGGTGGAGATGAAGAGGGTACTGAAAGTAGCGACACCGGCGAAGGCAGCGGTATCGATGCCGGGACCCTGAAGCACAACAAAAGCGAGCCGTTTCCAGAGTCAGTGGAACTGCAAGCATATGAAGTGCCAGCTCAAGGGCCTGAAAACAACGATGCAGACAGGCACGCTTGGGGTCTCCTCATATTACCCATCGATGGAAGCGACAAGTTCATTCGCGTAGGACGCTTCAAGATTTGGGCACAGATGGGTGGAATAGGCGCCTTTGAAGACATTCCATATGCAGAAGTCACCGTAGTCTAGAGTAATCCGTACGTTTTTCGCAAGATCTGGTTGTCGTTGAACGTGCCTTGGAGGTGTGCATCTGCTTCAGCATACTCTCTCTTGACCACGAGGCTGCAGCATATAGATCTGTCGACTTAGCAACAAATCGAAATTATCTTGGGTCGCTGCTTGTTACAAATTGGGTTGGTGTTTTTACTACGCTCGCCCCCAAGTGGGGTCCCCCGATTCCACCGAGCAGAATTTTCTCTCACCACCATTCCATGCAAACTATTCAGATCGTAGCTCTTCATTTTGGAGTATTAGCATTACATTGTTGCCATTGAAATGTGATTTGATTTACGTAAATATTTATCTTCACACCATCGAGCACGTGACACATTCTGTCATCCTATAGCTCAACAACACGGGCTTGTGGTCTAGTGGTATGATTTTCCCTTAGCATGGGAGAGGTCCGGGGTTCAGTTCGTACACCCATCATTAATTACTCGCCTGCATCTTCTAACCAATGTGGCAGATTCCCCGCGAGTCCAATTCTTTTTTGCACGCTTGTGCAACACACCATTGAGAGACCGCTGTCTACTTTTTTCTAGCGCAGGGTACTTGCTTTTGCTTGAACCCTTCGTCACCCCGCGAGTCCAATTTATTTTGGAGCTTTATCGTTCGCATGAAAGGGGCGTATAAGTGATTTGCTAGACGCGTAAGGCCCATAGGCCGACACACTCCTTTTCAGGCCAAAAGGGGTTTGCGGCACTGTGGGTGGCATACAAGTTCATGTTTACTTCATTTCAAAGAGAGGGGAGGGGCTCTGGTGCTATATAACAGGTGTTATCAGAGCGTGCTCGTTGCCATATTTAGTCGTCTGAAGTTCGACAACGCATCTACAATCAACGTCGGCAAGCCTAGAACACTCAGCGCAATGGTAACAAGGCTCCTTACTTACTTTCGCCAAGTTGCGCTCAGGATGTCCTTCGACTGTGCACAAGGGAGAACGAACTTCCCAGTTTCTAAGTGCTTGGCGTGGCAAGATACTTCGAACAAGACGATGCTTCAAAAACTCAGGCAGTGACTGTCTAGTTGCGAAACACCTCGGAAGGACGCAGCTAATGTACTGCTTCTACAATGCCATAAATACAGCGAGCATAGTTGAATACCGCCTGCGCGTACAAAACCAATCCACGAACTGCATAGCTTTATAGAACATCAGGGCATATTTTGCTTAAGCAGGAGACTTTGAGTAATTCAAATGATGGTACAAAGATCTGACCTCATCTTAGACGCGAGAGGTAATTGTGTTAGTTAGAGAGATATTCTGAATGCAAGGATATAGCCTGCGCACTCGTACACTACATACCTGATGGACGTATCGGATCAGACGTCTGCAAGTTTTCAGGTTTGTACCAACGAAGAGCGTACTAATGGTGAAAGGCTATCGGCGCAGTTCAAATACCTAAATCGCTTGGCCTCTCCTCGATACAATACGGAGGCTACACCAAACAAGGATCTAACCCGATGGTTCTACTCACTCACGTTGTAATACATAGGCGCTGTGAGCTGTGGCGCCGGCGTTTCTCGCACAGCAACTTGCGACCTACATATTGCAACCAGAGCAGGCAGTTTGCGCTACTTCCGTGGAACCGGACGTGGAACAATCAACGAACGTTGCGAACCATGCTCTCGGTGTGGCGAAATATTGGGAAACAACAATGCTACAAACCTGCCTTGGAAGCATCACTACAGCACGATACCTAACCTTTACGTAGGTCTCCTGCAACGCCTTCATTAAGGAAGCATCTATGAGTTTGCGCGTGCAAAATATTTAGATTCCTAGTATGTATCGTGTTACCAGCCTGTTGCTTATGGTGCAGTTTGTCTTCTTATCCTGGTTTTTGGCCGCACCGAGAACCATGGCCCAGGGATTTCCATGGATCAGGGCTTCGACCACGCAGGGCGAGATATTCAGGCGCCCAACCCTACTGTGTATGCAACCAAAGGGGATAATATCCACACGGAGACGTTGCTTCATGCAGGCTGGGCTTATGCGCCTCGGATTAAGGTGGCACAGCTCTATGCCTTGGTCTTCTTGACTTTCCGGTTATGCTGTGGAAGTCGTACCACCAGGGTGAAGACTGCGGCTCATGGGGCTCCTTTGCAGATGTTCGATGCGGTGTGCTGCACGCCTAACACCTGGTGATGGGTATTTGGACTTTTGACAACTAAAACAACGCGGATCGAATTTGACTTGCTGGTCATGGCGCGCACTCGATAAGCGAAGTGCGGATCATGACAGACGGGGCCAACAATCAGATCCTGGTATTGAGTTGGACAGCGTGCTGGCCAGCATCCGAGTCATTTCCTAGCCCCGCCCCGCCAACATGCGGTTCTCTGCGCTGTAAGTCAGACCGCGTACCACCGCTTTCAAGATCTTTCAAGCCGTGAATTTCTACAGCGGAAATGTTCCCGCTGTGCTTGCCGTACCGGTCAACACTGCTGAATCCGCGACTATGGAACTGGTATGTGCCATTCTTGGTGGTGCGTTGTCTCTGGGCCTTGGAGAATAGCACCTTCAGAGAGGGTATCGATGCGCATAAGATGCCCATGTTGAGTTCGACCATGCTCCAGAGGTTCACGGGAACGCTGTCGTAGAAGGGGTCCTTTGACTCTGTATATATCCGGATCGAGTACAGACGCACGATTGAAGCGATACAGCTAAAAACACCTAAACTGAAGATCCCAACGAGGGCCACCTTCTCACGAGTTGGTCGTTGGACCTTGAGCAAGGTGGTGATGGGAAGGATAAGAATCCATATATCAGCGAGGATGTTGACGCCACTTGTTGCTTGTGTTTGTTAATATTGTACACTGTCAAACATTCGATGGACCTACTATAGAATAGTGCGGTAGTATTGACACAGTGACCCTTTACTATTCCGGTGAAGTCCCACATCTTGTGTAATGGCACGCATTGAACCAAACAGCAGACAACACAGACCACGCAAAACACGGCCAGAAAGTATATGGTAGCCTTGCACAGATGTTCGAATCGTTTGATTACAGCTGCGCCAATGTCAGACTTAGATACGCAGTCAACGTGATCTTGAGCTTACCAATGCGAAGGTAGAAGAGCAAAATGGAGATCTTGATCGCGTTGATTGAAACATAGTAAATGATTTCAATAGCCAACGTAGTCTGCACTTGATTGACCATCTGCTTCGGCGTCAAAATGAGCCCACTGAGTCCCATGCCATTGGCTCGCATGACGAAAATGGCAACAAGATATGCGATGATGAATATCTACGAGGTAAGCGAAACTCTCTAGGCGTCGAAGATTATCATACCAAAGCGCCGAACATAGTGCAGTCGTCCACGCCAAAGTTCCTCACAATCGCAGCTCGTGCATAAATGCGGAGGATGACAACGACAGCTGGGATGTGTTAGCTACAATCCGGCTGATCAGTACGATCCTACTAACCTGAAAGTGCTGTGAGAGCCACAGCCACGCCTACACAGGCATCACGGTTGGTGAGATTCCCACTCATAACAGTGAGAATGACGGAAGCGAGTAGATCAGTGTTGAGATGACTGAAGAGAATTTTTTTTGCTAAAGAGCAGTAAAGAAACAGGTCGACGCCAGCGCCGGTGAACTTGTAAAGGCGAGGCGTGAGAGCGCCTCTTTCCTATGAGAGAGGTCGGGCTATGCAGAAGCATAGTATAAGATTTGTAAACGAGGGATTCATCTCACGGATCCTGTTCCGTAGAGTTTGTACCATGCGAACGTCCGCAGGGGTATGACGGTGAACTTGTTACAAGTGACAATAGCCGATTGCTCCGAGACGGGTGGTTGGTCAAGATCTCGCGCGATGATTCTGGACGTATTACGCGAGCATTGACTATAGTTTCTCTGCAATGTGGGGCCGGGACGAGTTATTCCATGGAGGCGTAAGGCATTCTATACGCCATCATGCATCATTGAAATACCATCACCTATAGCATGTTACTTTTACTAAACTCGCATGGTCGTCGCTGGGAAGACATGACGCTGCGGCTGCATTTTACATAAGTTGGCATGTTGGCAAGAAGTTTCGCAGCAATGAACGGGCGGGGCTCGGTGCTACATGTCAGCCTGAACACATATATGCAGTCAGCCGTATCACATGCCGCGGGGAGGTTGTTTTTCGCGAAGTGGAGGAAGGTTCACAACATGCGTATTTCGAAACACCAGCTCCAAGCAGTGGAGCGAAGAAGTACCGCAAATCGACTTGACACTAGGGAGGCCAAGATGCTGTTGAACTTGTGGTATCGAGATCCCACGAATTCGCTTCAGTGTAGGAGGACATACATACTTTGTATAGATTCAATATACGCCGTGCGACTCCTTGAGTGTATCGGGACCAGCGGTGAAGAGTATCAGGTGTCGCCTCATGACGACCTAATAGAGCTTCCAACGTTTTGAGAATTCTATGCCTTCGGCGAGTGTGCCAACCCTCGCGTCAATAGCATAGCCCTCTCGCTCGAACTTGATACACTCGTCCCATAAGTCCTTGAGAGGTACTGAAAAGGTTTCGATGAACTCGTTGTCCTCGAGCTCAGGCTGGGGGTTCTGATTCTCAGGGCGAGAGAGATCGACCGTCACGTGAATCATACGCAGGTTGGTGTTACAGAAGCCAGGATCTGAGCTACATCAGCGACCCAGAGTCCTACTTTCTTTTGCAAGTCAAAGGGGCCTCCGGATACTTACCGTTGAACATGACTGGCGTGACTTGAAACGTCCGGTCGGATACGATCTCGCCGATATAGCCAGTCTCCTCTTTCAACTCGCGTACAGCGCATTGCTCTGGAGTCTCATTTGGGTCCATAAGGCCTGCGGGCACCTCAATGACAGTCGCATTGACTGGTGGACGCCATTGTTTCTGCAGGACAATGCGGGGTACGTCATCTGCCTTTGCTGGATCTTGCAGTATGGCTGCAACACCAACACCATCAATATCGCAACCTCTCGGACGTGTGAGGCGTTCACCGTGTTCCCATGTACGTTCCACTCCTCCAGGATCGGAATAGGTAGTCCTTGATGCGGTCAACGAATGCGCCCACCCGGGCGCTTGAGCACAGTGCGAAAATGTAACACCGCATGCTTACTTCACCAGGGTAGCCCATTTGGCGTCCTTGTTTTCCTACAGCCGTTAGTAAGTGCTCATGCTCTAGACGAATCACGAGCTTGCCAGAGGCTCCGTCTTGATGATCTTTGACGGCTGATCAGACGCTCTACTTGAGGATACCATATTGGGTGCCGTGATGGACTTGCAGTGCAGTTCTATCGCGAGATTGTGCTCGCGTCCTCGCGTGGGGGTGGATGGGTGGATGGGTAGCTGGCGATGATCCGTAGACCCTGATGACGCCCAACATCGTGGCTTCTTGGCAACACATCCATTGCGCCCTCGTGACTGCCTCCAATATTTGCACCACACTTCTTTACCTCA